AAACTTTTACATTGGGCTTATCAAAACCATTCTGTGTAGATCTAAGTCTGTTGTGACTGAAATCAGTAATAAAACTTCTCTTGATGCCCAATGGAACAGAGCTAAGGCAACACTGAGCTCTCTTAATAAATTCCGCTCCGGTAAAAGTTTTATTTAAAAAATGTGGTTAACCCAAAGCTTTTAAAGAAGATTAATGTGGACTTATAAAAAACTGTCTGATTTTATTATTAGTAGTAATTCATACAGTTTGTCCTGAAGTTTTCCTTTTCAGCTTCAGTTTGAACCATATGTTCAGGAAGTTCAACTGAAAAGCGATCCTTCAGCAATATTATTTCTTTCTAATTAACAATAACCACAGAGGTATTTTAGAGAAACCTCCGAGTCCCTCAGAAGGTTGTGGAGTGGGATAGATTAAAACAGGATTTTGTCTATTTTATGAAAAATTCACTGAAGCACAAATGGGTCAACTTCAGAGGAGTCCTTCCTTTCCTGTTCTACCAAACAAAGGATTTTGAGTGCAGCAAATCTTAATCTCCATTGGATTTTTTTGTGAAAGACCTTGAAGGACTCTGGGATCCATCAGTGCCCTGTTGGCCTCGCAGGGACTGAGCACAGGCACAGCAGTGCAGCCATGGGGATCCCCCAGGTGTTGATCCACCACCCCAGTGGGCAAAGCCAGTCAGAGGTGATGGGTGCCAAACACAAAGCTAAAGGAGAAGCTGGATGCCAGACTGGTTTATACAGACTAGATGGGGATTTAGGAATAAACACAGCTAGGGGCTCAGCCAAGTGCTCTTTGTGTGCAAACAGAACACGAGAGGCACAAAGCCTGCACTCCAATGAAAATGAGTAAAAAGCACAAGTTGGAGCAAGGTTCATAAAAATACCATCAAAATTTCACATCCCCAGTCCTTGTACACATGATGTAACTGATGGCATCAGGAACATTTTTTTTCTGGATTTCAAACATGGTTTCTCTCAAATTCCCTTTCTCAGTGAGAGCAGATGAGGTGATGCTGGGTGCAGAGCCCCTGCACTGAGGGCTCCTGGAGACTTCTCATTACAGCACAGCTCACACAAACTTCTCCCTGTTTTTAAGAACAAAGATCATTGTTCAGCTCAACAGAACAATGCCATCAAAATGGCAGCACAATGTTGTGCTGCTGTTTTCACTGGAGTCCCTGTCAAGTTGCATCAGTTGAAATGCTGAGGTTTTATTTCCCTGACCTGTCACACAGCTCACTGTGCCCCGGAGCTGCCAGTCAAGCTGTGCTGCTTCTGCTGAGATGCTGTTTGTGCTTTGCTGCGTTTGTTGGTGGTTTGTTGTCAGCCCTGACATTCAATTTTCATGTTTTCTTAACAGCACGAACTCATTGCTGTCACTGCATGTACAGCCTAATCTTACAGTCCTCACACTCTGCCCCCTTTCGCTCCTGAGACCTCTCTATGCCGTATTTAGAAATCCGCAGCAGTCTGGGTAAAAAAGGATGTGGCAATTGGCTTTTCCTGAGGTACCAGCTGCTCCTTGGCTGTGCCTGCTGGTTTATCTGGGATAAATGGCCCTGGAAGTCACTCTGGAAAACTCCACCTCGATGCAACTGCAATGCTTCCATCCACCTGCACCCACCCATATTCCTGAGGGCTTCAACCATGACCCAGGGAGCTTTCAGAGTAAGATGCACAGGGAAAGAAACTGTGGAAAGGAAACCCTCCCCCAGCTGATCTGTGAATATCTACACATACCAATGTAGAAAAGCAAAGGCTCTATTTTTACACAGTAACTTTGCAGAGGAAGACCATGAATTAAAAATAAATAATTATATTTATTTTCACAGTCCATTGTAGAAAAAAGGTTTATTAATCCTGCTAACTTCCCTTTAAACATTAAGTAACCTCCAATATGTTTAACATATCTTCATTTTTTAATTTGGTAGGTTGCTGCCTGACCCCCTACAGGAGGAACAGTCCCTGGTTAGCAGCACTAACCTGCCCTCCCTGCAGGGAAAGGTAATATTTACCTCTGTCTGCATTCTGACACATGCCAAACAGTAAGCTTGAGCTCTTGGGATCAGATTTATTTATCCTCTAATTTTCTCACAGCATTTCAAAACCCACTTGGGCTTGAATGATCCTGCAGCCATTCGCATTTATCATTTGACACATGTCAGATCAAACAACTCTGAAATATCAAACAGGCCTCCAGCATTTTTCTTTTGTGTAGTTTATTGAATCTCTGGGATAACATTCCACAAAAAGCAGCATGGAAGTTCCTAATCTCACCAGGCTCCAGTCAGAGGTTGCTTGTTGTTCTGGGAGACTGGATACAGGGGAAAAAAGGAAAATGTTCTTTATTGTGGAACTGTGTTGCTTTTCACACCTCTTGTGAGACGCAACACAATAAACCAAGGAAACAACCTTGACCCCTACGTGTTTATAAATCGGCATTTACTGAGTGAGCACTACATAACAAATGGACTGAAACAGGCACAGCAAGGAAAACCAGTCTGTACCATTGTGTGATTTCCTTCTGATACAGTTACTGACAATACTCTGGTGGATGTGTCACCATCCACTGCTGCATCCAGAACCTTTTAGTGAAGGTGCTTCTGGAATTCTTACCTGGAGAAATCCTGCAGTCACCCTGGCAAGGAGGAGAACACAGCGTGTGATGAAAATTCTGGTTAATTAAAAGACACACCTAGAGAGGGTCAGGTTGGACCTTTCATACATCACTCAGATTTGAACTACAGGATTTTAACTTGCCTCTAAAATTTCAAATCAGATTCCAGTGTAGAAAGCAGTTGGATTTTTCCCCAGGTATTGCCAAATCCAAACAGCTCACACTGGCTCTGCCCTTTCCTAAGGCTGGAATCCCAGTTCCCAGAAGGATTCCATGTCAAGCAGAATACTTTATTTTCCAAGGGCTGGTGCAGCAGAGATCCCTTGCAGAAGGGTTCCTCTGGATACTGTACCATGATTGAACAGTGTAGGGGCATTTGGCCAGCACAGAAACGTTCTGCATTCAAGAGATTTTAACTTTCAAAGTGCTTAAGAGAGCTATGGAACTGAAAGGCATCAGAATAACCAATATATATAACATATAACATATATATAACAATAACCAATCCTATGTGAACATTCAGTTTGCAGATTAGCTGTAGGACAGGCTGTCATTCCTGACTCTTGCCTTGCTAGAAATCTTCACCTGTGTGGGTCTCATGACGTTTGTTCTTTGGAACCATCATATTCTTGTCTTCTCTGTGTGAGTGAAGCCTGGGCCTTTCTGCAGGACTTTTGGAGCAGCTGATGACATGGTAGTTGCTTCCCTTCTTTTAATTTGCATGATAAACATCTGTCAGCAAATTGCACCTGAAGGGGTGAGGATGGCAGGGTCTGCAGCTCAGGGACCTGACTGATCCCAGCTGGGGCCCTTGGCCCCTGACCCATGACTGAGGTGTCTCTTGGGCTGGGGCAGTGGGATGGGTTTGTCACTGTGCTGCTGCCACAGGCTGAAGGGCTCGGCAGTGCTTGGCATGGCCAAGGCACTCGATGTGGAGCCCTCAGAGGGCAGTTTTACAAGAATGCCTCAAGCCACAATCAGAGTTTAACATTACAGTGCCCATCAACCTGCAGCTGAAGAGCGTTAGAACTCTTGAGCTTTAACATTTTACTTCTTGTCTCAATTTGAATTAAATTTTAATTTGAGAACTTGGCAAACTGAATAAGTAAGTCTTGTATAACACAAGGATGGTCAGGCAGTCTCACTGCAAAATCCTGCAGCAGTGTTTGTGTTATCACAGCTGATTATTTAGCCACTGGGATACAGGGTTCTTATAGCTCTGGTTTTAAAATGGATCATATGAAACTGGTAGCAACACTGGCTTGGAACAAAAATGCAACTATGAAGTACAAGTATCACAAGGGGACAAAGGCATTAAAAGACCATGCAGGAAATGTGAACAAATCTCTGTAATGGTGTCGTGCAAGCCCATGCAAGGCACAGAGAGTCCTTGAGCCCTGTGCATCTACAATTTACACCAAGTCAGTGTGATTGTTTGTTCTCTTTCCAGACTCCCTACACCCCTCGTGCTAGGTCTTGGTACGAGTTCAGCCAGAGAAATTGAGGCCACTTTGAGGATAATGATATAAATAGCAGGAAGTTTATGGAAACTTCACTGAAACTGTTTGTGTTGAGCTGCAAAGAGGTAAAAGTGCTGGTGCAGTGCCATTCAACCCTGCACATGTGTCCCCATATAATCTGTACTTTTGCTATCCATTGGGAGTATCTGGGCTTCGTTTTTACATGCTAATTGCATATTAAATAGAGATATTAAAATTTATGAATACTTATTGGTTACAACACACTGGTCTCCAATTGCTTTTTCCCACTCTGTCTTTTCAGCTGACAGATTTTATCGTGCCCCTGAGTTGGGAGCTCTGACACTTCACTATGTCAGAGTCGCTTCTTGCTTGTTTTACTCTTTTTGTTGTGATGTTTCTTCATTTTATTCCCATCAATTCCCTTTCATTGTCTTTAATTATGTCCCTGAACTTGTAAAGCTGTTTCTCCTAACAATGGGTACTTTGGAAATGGCAACAATTGCTTTTCCATGAACTACAAGGCAGGAAATACATTGTTTCTTTTAAAAAATTACCAGATGTTTTTCAGGGCTGACTACTAAGATTAAAAAAAACGCCAGAAACTATTATTTTCCAAATAACCGAAGTGTAATTTTGTTATTGTGTTACTCCTGTTTGCATTTAACTGGGAATTGCAGCCTAGGCCAATACTAAAGAAGGAATTTCTCTCCAGCTAAGTGTGTAAAGTCCATCTGTGTGAACATTGACTCCATGGACTCAAGTCCATCTGAGGGAATCACGTTATTCCTTGTGCAGTCCAAATACTGGCACTGGGGTACCTGCAACTGGTTGTCATGTGTTCTCTGACTGGAACAAATGAATATTCCTTGTCCCTGCACGCAGGGATTATTGACAGAAAATACCCAGTGCTTCACAGTAAAGTGACTGCATTTTATTTCTCATTAAAAATTAAAATGTATACTTTAAATGATAAAAGTATATTTTTAACATGGACAGTACAGTAAGAAGGAATTACCCGCATCACACATGAAATTGTTATCCCTGCTGTTCCCAGATCCCATGCCTCTGGATCACAAGCTGCTCATGATGGAGCGATACTCTCTCTGGTGCTCCACAAGCTTCAAAAATACTTCGTATTTCTTGTCATAAAATCTGTGTAAGAAAGTTAATGTCAGCAAAGCCTGAGATTTGAAGATTTAAATCCTCTGCAATATATGTTTATATGTTTACTCTCTTCTCTTAGCATTAAAAACACTTTGACTCAGGTACAGCTGCTGCCAGGGTCAGAGCCCTCCCTGAGCACTGCCAGGGCAGTTTCCACTCAAACTGTAATTTCCAGTTGCAATTCCACCTTTCATTTCCCTACAGCCAGCTGGGGTGCTCAGACAGTTTTCCCCAAAATTCTCTGTGTGACAGTGAGGAGACAGTGGAGTTTCACAGAATTCACTGAGGTGGGAAAAACCCTCCAAAATCACTGAGTCCAGCTGTTCCTCCAGCACTGCCCCGTGTCCCCAAGTGCCACATCCACAGGGCTTTTAAATCTCTCCAGGGATAGGGATTCCACCAGGAGTGCCAGATCTGGACAACCCCGTCCATGAAGAAATTTTCCCAAATATCCAATCTAAACCTTTCTTGTCACAGCTTGAGGCCGTTTCCTCTTGTCCTGTCGCTTGTTATTTGGGAGCAGAGCCCGGCCCCCCATGGCTGTCCCCTCCTGTCAGGGAGTTGTGTAGAGCCACAAGGTCTCCCCTGAGCCTCCTCTTCTCCAGGCTGAGCCCCTTCCCCAGCTCCCTCAGCCTCTCCTGGGGCTCCAGCCCCTTCCCCCGGACAGGCTCCGGCCCCTCAATGTGTGAAGCGGGCACAGGCCCCGGGTCCCCCCCGCCATGTCCCCGCCGTCCCCTCAGCCCGGAGCCGCCGCCAGGGGGAGCCCGCGCGCCGCCGCCCGTGGGACCCGGAGCGCTTAGACATGTACCGTGAATTACCCTGAAATATAACGTAACAGAATATAACCCTGAAAAATGGTCAGAGGTAGTAATCCTTAAAAAATAATAATAGTAAAAAAAATACAATAGCAATGATCATTAAAATATAATATAAATAATCAAGCTTTAAAAATTAATAGAAATAATCCTTGGAAATACAATATCAACAATTCTTAAAAATATAATATACTGTGATTCTTAAAGTATCCGTATGTTAAACACTACTGCAGTCGAGCAGGGTGTAAAGAGACACACCCCAAACTCATCTCCAGACCCCAAATTTATCTCCCTTGAACTGTCCCAGTGGAACACACCAGGACCAGCATTACCTTTTATGCTCGTGGTTGGGCTGCACGACTCTCCCAATTTTCCCCATTTTCGCCATGGCCTCCTAGGAAAAGACAAACACCAACTGGAAAAGCCTGCTTTGATTTAAAATACTTTTTGACAAGAACAAGATGTTTCAAAACCAATCGGAACATTAGTGATGTATTTTGTTTCGGCTGAACAGGCCAGATGGCAGCAAATATGTTCAATCCCATTATAAAGCAGTCAAGAGAACAAAGCTCTGCAGACCCTCAGTAACCAAAATCTGTTCCTCTCTCTCACTGGGAGTCCCAGGCGGAACAGACTTATCTTTTATTATTTACTCTAACCAAAGGAAATGTTAAACACTGCATCCCCCGAGGGGAGGGTTCTCAAATAAAATGGTACTGTACTTGAGATCCTGTAATCATATTCTGAAAATATCCCTGCAGCAAGGGAGGACTCGAGGGTGCTCCACAAGCTAAAGGTAACCTGGGAAGGTCTGTTCTGCAGCTCAAAGCTGCCCTCACATTCCAGCATAAAGGTGTAAGAGGCAAACTCTGATCCTGTTCTGCTTTTGGCCAAAATGAAGTCAGAGCTCGCAGAATCCCCTGCAGAAGGAGTCACTGGGACGGTCATGTGTGGAAGGAGAGGGATGAGTAATTTTATTCCTTTCCTGATCTCTGTAAGATTCTGATTTTCCGTGGATTTTCCCAAGCGATCCCACTGGAATGAGAATCACCAAAGAGGCCTGAGCTCTCAGGATGTAGTGGAAGCAGCACTCAATTATTTCACAAGGGGAATCAAAGCAACAGCTTTTAGATGGGAGAATGCTAAAAACGTTAAAGGTTAGGACTCAAGAATCAGTGTGTGACTAAATTAGGGTTCAGAGTTTCTAAGCAGGACCCTGAACCTGTTTTAATGCAGTGCCTAAGGAGGAGGACCCTGGAGAACAGGCAGCCTGTGCTGCTGTTGGAACCTTCCAGCTGGCTGCTACAGCTGGATTTTTAAAAGGTTTGGATGATTTTACAGGCTGGAATACCTGCTCTAGTGAAGTCTGTGCTTTCCACTAATCCAGCACTTGACAGCAGAGGATTTCACAGAACTTCACAATGTGGATGAGCAATGTCAGTGCAGTGTCAGCAGCTCAGGGCAAGCTCTACTGAAGGCAAAAGCATTGCCAGGTGTGCAGTCAGGACTCGACTCTGCTAAGGGTGCTGATAGACCAGCAGAGAATATTTCTGTGCTCTCATATGCTCATTCTCTTTCATACAGAGGTGCAGAGGTTGATTGTACTTCGATTCTCCAAGAAACACCCTTGAAATAACACTTGCAGGGAGATAGTGTGTTCTTTCCCTGGGACATGTGAGCCTGCTGGCACTGAGACTCTGCACAGCAGCCAGATTAAAATACTGCCACGGAAAGGCTGATACTCTTCCAAGTAAGAGAAATGGGCATTTTATTCCCTTTCCTTCAACAGGTGACACTGACAATGCTCAAGCATTGTCCCTGTTTACAATAGTCAGTCTCTTACAACTCCCTTACATGGCCAGCTGGATTTACAGACTATCCAAAAAATGAATGAAACCCAGAAAAAAAACAAAAAAAAAACCAACACAAAGTAAAAGCCAATTCCCTCTGGTACAATGGCTACTGCTTTCCAGTGCCTTAGGGCACTACTGCTTTCCTCTGTGCCTTAGGGAAAACAAAGCCCCCTGAAACCGTCTCTCACTAATGGAAGAGTCACCCTCCTTTCTGCTCCCTGCTTTCCACCTCCTTTTGAACTGCCCTGGAGACACTGCACGAAAATAAACCCACAACACCTAAAGTGCCTAAAGAGGCAAATCTATTTTTTATCCCAGGTGCAACAGAAATGAAAGGGAGGGCCAGACTTTGCATTGCCCTTTCTGTGCACACCCAGGTCCAGGACACAGCACCATTACAGGGTATGTTCTGCCTCTGATATGGGGCACTCCTGTTCTGTTTTACTCTTACAGCTTGCAGAAACTACTGTTTCTGTTCTGCTGGACCCCCATCATCCACCCTGAGCCAAGGAGGAAGATTCCCAAGTTTATCAGTCTTCCAGTTTATCAGCTAAAATACTTTGGTGTTTCTAAATCTACTGGAAATACACAGACCTTTGAGAATCCACAGCATTAAAGTATCACAGCAACTACCATGGTTCTGTAGAATAACATGGCAAAAAAATACACAGCCAGCAATTTTCAACAACTCACCCATTCTATGCTGCTCAAAATATCCTAAATTAATTCCTTCTCTCAATTCACATTTTAGTTGTGTGTTTTTCTGTGTTTTAAAGTCAGTTTGGTCATTGTTAGCTTGAACAAAAAAACTTTACTCCCAGAGGAGAGTCTTTTCAACAATCTTCTGGGGACAAAGAGGAACAGAACATTGAAAATATGAATTTATAATGAAATGGGAAACAAAGGAACATTAGAATTGCACTACTGAATCGGATCAACCTTGTGCACTGCTCTGTCTCCAACAAAGCTTTAAATATAGCAAAGTGATAATACTGCCGTTCAGAAATAGTTTGTTTGAGGGTTGACATCCAAATCCATAATTCCAGTCACCAAGGATTTCACAATCTTAATTTGAATGACGCTCTATCTTCTTTGTTTGCCAGTCTAGACAGTACAATGAATACAGTGATTTAAAACACAATGAATTCTCTCTTAAAACAAAATATTTTGTAAAATTGCTTTTTAATCACTTCTTTTCTCTCTTTCCATAAAGGCTATGCTATAAATAAACCCTGAAAGTTCGCATTTGATCATCGTTTCTAAAGGGTGGGCAAGAGGCAAGTGAAGGGTTTACACAGAAAAAAAGAGAGGCACTGTGGAGCAGAAATAAAGGGATGCATTCATGATTTCTAACCTTTTGTTGGAGTGTCAACGCTGAGACAGATACAAGCCAGTAAACACTCTGCTCTCCATGGAGAGACCCAGCCCAGCAGGGTTATCCCTGCCTGGGAAGGGACAGGGAACCAAACTCCCCAAGGCCCACCAAGATCTCAGAACAAGCTCCCATTTTGCTGCTGGGAACCCAAATCCACTTGGTCCTGGTGCACACAGGGAATAGCTTCAGGCTGGGACACTCATCTTCCCTGATCCCCTGCCCTTGGGATCCTCCAAGAGCTGCCTCACAAAACCCAGCACAATCCTGCTCATCCCACAAGGGGAGCCCACATCCCTTGGCACTGCACAGGGAGGCCAGGGAAGCCCACCTGTGGATAGAATCACAGAATCAGCTAGGCTGGAAGAGACCTTGGAGATCATCAAGCTCAACCTAGAATAGTCCCCAAGTCTGATTTTCAGCAGTGACTCAAGTACTGATGAGGTTGAGTATTACTGAAAATTAATGGGATGTGAACCCTCAAAGTTCATGGCAAATGAGAAATCAGATTTAGGGGCATCAGACTTAGTTTAGAAAGTCGAGAAACGGAATCCCAATTGGGCTTTTTCTTTATTTTGAGACTTTAAAAATTGTATCCAAAGTTAAATGGATAAGGCATCCGAACACAAATTCCCAGCCGTGTTCTCACCACTCAGTCATTTTGGTAATGGCAAGAAATGCTGGGACTTTAGCCTAAGGTAGTTATTAACAACGAAACAACCACAGATCATTTCAAGTTCTCCTGTACCATTTCTGTGGCTGAAAGCACGTGGCTGCACATGGAGCAGCAAAGCACCAAACTGAGGGGATCTGATGCTCACACTCAGGTCAGTCTCACCTCTCCAGTGTTTCTGTTCAGTTTTCCTGTCACAGATCCAGCAGCAGGAGGAAAGTAATGTAAAAGCTGCCCCATTCACAACAGGCTGAAATGTAGGAACGTTCTTCCTACCACATCTGTCCTGATTTCAGGATTCAGCAGGTGTTAATCTTCAAACTATCAGAGTGACTTTCCTTACACTTCTAGTCCTCACGACAAATAAAACAAATACTGTTCTGTGTAATAATTCTAACTGTTCTGCAGCAGTGAAGAACCTCTCTCTCACTCATCTCTATTCCACACACACAGACTCAGCTAACAGATGTCCTTAGCATAATTTTAAGAAGTCCAGTGACAGTTATATTTGGATTTGAGGAGCATAAATAGATTTCTTGAAATGCTGATGTTGAAGAAATACTTTTAAACTTTTATAAGAATTTTAAGCAAGGCTGCTATTTCCTTCTAGGCTTTTATTTAATTGCTTGTTTCACAGCTTAGAGATGCAAAATTCATCTCATCTGTGTTTACAGGAGCTACATGAGTGTATTTCTGTAATGCAGGCCTAGCAGAACATTACTTTTTAGTGGTATATGACTGCATGAAGAAAGCATGTGATGGACCATATACAATATTTTTCTAGTGGTTTACCTCCCCCCCTCTAAATTTGTTTGAGTTATAGGGGCAGATCTTGGCAGCATGCACAAAGCCCAGAATCTGTAACTCAATTCTCTGTGGGTTTCTGGATGGAGTGAGCCAAGTTTTAAAACACATTATGGATAAATATTAGAGCTGAGCAAAAATTTCACACCTAAGACCAAAGTGTGAAAATTTGGCTTTGATTCATTTAGTGAAAAGGTGGAAAATTTCACACAAGTTTGTATTTTCCTTTTGCTCTGATCCAACATCGATTTCTATGTCTGTGACAAACCTAAGAAAGAGAGAGAGACAGAGACAAAAGAAGAGTTTCTGTCTGTGCACGAGATACAGAGGAGGAGGGAGAAGAGGATTCAAGAATGGAGAGCTGGCAAGCAGGACACCAGCTCAGGACTTAAGTCTGTCTTCCAGGAAAAGTCACTGGCCTTTGGAGTCTCTCTGTGTCCATATGTTCAGTAGCAGCACTGGGCCTTCTTAGAGGAATATTCTATACATTTGTTTGTTACACTGAGGCAGCTCAAAAAAAGCCCAGCATTATTCTACCCTTCAACCATCCAGCTTGAGTTGACAGAGGCCAACTGGATGGATCCTGAGCACTGAGACAAGGTAAATTTCTGGTTCAAGCACTGAATCAGATTCCAGAAAGTTTCAAGAGATTTCTGGAGTTATCTGAGACATGTAATTTACTCTTTTAATTT